CAAAGGGGAGGTCTCAGCATTATCAGTCACTGCCTCTCAGACAACGGCCAGCATCTTCAGAGGCAGAGTGAGATGTTCAAAGCTGCTCGTCCAAGAATGTCCACAGTCACGGCTCCTTTTCTCTTAAGGAGCAGCTGTGACCATCACTGGTGTGGTCCAGGAGTGAGAATATCTCCCCATCCTAACCTGGAGCCCATGCAGGGTCACTACTGGCTGCTGTTACCTTTCATGGGACTGCTAAGAGGCTTTTCTCAATTTGGTAGGATTTGCCCCTTCCCAGGGATAACTGCACACCATCAGCCCTTTCCTAGAAGAAGGTGGCAAAGGCATTTCCAAGCAGGTTTCAGATAGGAGCTCTGAGCTGGGTCCTGGGGCCACCAGGAGCCCCCAGCCCAGCCACAAGTCTGTGGTGGCCATTGAAGGGACCCTGCACCAGAGACCAGACTCCTTCGGATGTCTCGGCCCCAGATTACACGGAGCAACACCAGTTTCCAGCAGGGAGATCTCTATCCCCATCATCTTTGTAGCACAAAGCACTTCTGCTTGCAAACCAGTGCCACGGGGCATCGCAGGAGACCTCTCTGACCACACCAGGACCAGAGTGGTCCTGAGACCCCAGATTGTGGGTTTTCCTCCCTGGCTGCTGTCTTGGGGCAATCTGAGTTAATTCTGTGGGATCCCGGTGGAGTTTGAGGGTTGTTTTGATTCCAAGACACAAATTATCCTTACCCACCTCTTCAAATGCTGCACCTGGGACCATGCTACCCCATCCTGGGAGAGGTTTCCCAAAATTTCGATCTCCCATGGATTTCCTTGCCTGCACGGGAGGACAAAAGCCCCCAGAGATAGGAAACCAGGCAGCGGGCAGAGCAGTGTGAGCGGGGCAATGGGTGGGGATTACGAGCACTGGGGCAAAACCCTGCCAAGTCGCTGCACCAGACCCACTCTTTGAAGAGCAACATGTTAATTGGGAAAACACTGTTAATCAACGCTGAAAACCCCAACAGGCATCCTTAGGGAGCACAAAAACTTTTGCTTTTAAAGTATCCTTGCACCGAGCGTGTGGCTACCTGGAGCAGCAGGGGGGGAAAGCGTGTCTGCGTGATCCCGCAAAGTCCCGGCGTAGGCGACAGCCCGTTTTTCGGGTGACTCCCACCAGGCTGTCGGATTCAGATGTCTTTTTCCCACCCCCCCTCCTTTTTTCCTTCTGAATGGGGAGAGGCACCGCAGCCCCGTGACGTTGCCAGCTCCCTCTGATTTCATTTTAATGAAATCATGCCCAAACGAAGGCTCCACGTCTGGAGTTACGACTCAAACCCCGTGATCGCTCATTTTTATATATACACAAGGGAGGGGAAAAGCGTTTCCATAGAGAGAAAAAATATCACAGCCCTCTTAATAACAATAAAAGAAAAGCGAGGGTGCAGAAGTTCAGGGGAACGCACCTGATGCCTCTCTCCTCGGAGTGAGACTGCAGCAACCCCTTCCCATCCCGACCAACGAGGACTACCAGGTGAGTGCCTGGATTTCATTTATTGACCAGCAGCCGGCTTCGATTGCACAAACTTTAAATATTTCAGTGCTTTCCTTGGGAGATCAGGTTCCACATTTCTCTGCAAGAAAGAAAAAATAGGCAGGATAGGGAAAAGCGGTTCAAGATACGGCGTTAAGAGACTCCCCCCACCCTCCCTCCTAAGCAAAGAAATACCTTTGTTATTATTATAACAATTTTCGGAGGCTGATCAGGCTGCGCAGCATGGGAAGGGCTTGGAAATCTTGAGAAAACTAAAAGCGGGGGGACAAATCCCTGCCGTGGTAAGAGGGATGGGGAGGAGAGGAGGGCACAGCCCCATCCCCACAGGATTAGCTTGAATTTTGGAGCCCTGGGAATCAGCATTGTCAGGAAAGAGTCATTAGGAAGGTGGAGGCAGCACCAGGCAGAAAGAGTTTAAAAAGTCCACAGGTCTCACCCGCAGTATTATTTTATTCCAGACTTACTTTTTGACAGGGAAAAAATTAGCTTAATCCACTGATTCTGCCGCCGAGGAGCCCGTGATAACCAGCAAGTAGCTTTGTCCCCCCAGTTTGTGGAGCTGCCTTGCCGGAGCGACTGACTTTTCTCTTTCAAAGCTACGGCAAATCTTCAGCAGATACAAATGGTCCTGCCGCGGCTGTCGGCACCGTCTCGATATAATGCCCGTAAATTGCTCACGGGTATCCCGGTAATTTCCACCCGCAGCAAACGGCACCCGCAGGTCACCCTCCAGCAGCAGCAGTTTTAGCTTTGACTACCTCAGATCCACCACGGGTGGTTTTTCTTATTTTCCTGCTTTTTTTTTAGGGGGGGAGGAAAACCCAATTCCAGCTTGCTTTCTGGTCCGAAAAAGCTTTCTGGCATGCCAGAGCACAAAACCCCCATGCAAAAAAAAAAAAAACCCAAACAAAAAATATCAGCTGTCCGGCCAGCGCAGTTGGAAGCTGCTTTTTCCTCTCTGCTTTGCCTTGATTTTTGCTTTTTTTCCCCAGGATATCCACCCCGCAGCCAAGGACCAGGAAACCAGGCGCTGGGTGCGGATGCGTTTCAGCCGTGTTTCCCCCTTGCTCTGCCTTTTCCCTCGCTTGGCCGAGGTTCCCTGAAGAGTTTTGCCGAGTGGAAGAAGCCCCAGCCGGCTGCGGGGTCAAGCCATCCGTTTCAGACGCCCGTGAAATAGCTGTCGGGGAGAGGCGAGGTGGAGATGCTGCTCCGTGACAGCTCGGACCAGCTCAGTTCTCTCCCAGCAGCCGTGCCGGCTCTGCGAGGGCTTTTCCAGCCCTTCCCGCTCTCCATCCAGCAGCTCAGGGCCAAACACTGTCCCCAGCAGAGCAGGGGCTGCAGACAGGGGCGAGAAATTTAGCAATTTCTAAATTCATGCCCCAAACCCCCTTGTCCCGCTATCAGGAGTTTGCTGGGGGGGGACGGAGGGGCTGCTTCATCTGGGGCTAAATCGCAGCTGCAAAGGGGGAGGCTTTGGGGCGAGATAAACGTGTTCGTCCTGCTAAGCTTTTGCAAGTAAAAACCAACTGCCTGGATTTAAATATCTGATTTGGGGTTGAAGGAAGAAGAGTTTCGGGCCCCGAATCGCCCTTGCATGGGGGTTGTGTGCCTGGGGAGGGTTTTCCTCCCCATCCTACAGCAAGGACTTTGCTGGTGCTGCCTGGGTCGTGCAACGACTTCTGCACGTTGTTCCTCTCTTGTCTGGACGCGGTTGAGGGGACGGTGGTTGCTTTGGGGGAGCTCTGGGGGGGCTTTGGCGCAGGGGTGAGCGAGGCAAAGAAGTGGGAATCGAGCGGCTCCCTCAAACCCTGCCTGTACGCCCTGCCCCGACCTCCCCCTCCGAGGGATGGCGAAGGGCAGAGTTGAGGTGACAGCAGTTTCGGGGACTGTGGCTCATGGCAGAAGAGGGGTGACAGCTCCTGGGGACAAGGGATTTGATTTGATTTTGGATGGGTCTGAGGACATCTCTCACTCTGAGGGTGACGGAACACTGCAACAGGTTGCCCAAGGAGGTGGTGGAATCTCCTTCTCTGGAGATATTCAAGACCCACCTGGACGCAGTGCTGTGCAGCCTGCTGTAGGTGACCCTGCTTCAGCAGGGGGGTTGCACTGGGTGACCCACAGAGGTCTCTTCCAACCCCAACCATTCTGTGATTCTGTGATCTCCCCCACCCAGCAGCCCCTCCCCAGCACAGCCTCCCTCCCCAGCAGCGGTCCCAAAACACGTCCCTTTGGGATATGGACTTGGTGGCTCACAACCCCAAGCCTGAGGTTGAAACCCCCAGCCCCAGGCAGGGTCCCCTCACCCCTGGGGACTGTCCCCCAGCCAGGGCTTGCCGTGCAATCTGCTTGCCACAAGATGGGGCCCGAAGATTGGCAATGCCAGCACGTCTCCAGGCGCCTGGAGAACCCGTGTGCCCTCGGGGCTGGCCTCGGGGACACTTGTCCGACCGAGACATGGGCAAAGACCCTCACCGGGAGGTCCCTTGTGGCCTTTTAGGTGGCCTTTTTCAGCGGTCGGGTGGATATACAGGGAGATGAGTCGCTTCCCAAAGAGACAGAACTGAGAGATGAGGAGGTTTCACGGAGCAGGAGGATTTTCCTGAGGTTTTCAGCCCTCTCAAGACCCCAAAATTACCAAATTTCAAGCAGGGAGTGATGCTGCTGTGCTGTGAACTTGGAGGTGACCCCCAGGTCCCCAGGCAGGGCTGTCCACGGTGGGGAATGCACCCCAAATGTGCCATCAGATGGAGCAACCTGCACACAGGGTGGAGGGGGGTCCTGGAGATGGAGCCGTGAAGTAACAGGCAAACCCAGAGCACCCAAGGCCAGGGCTGGAGAGGAGACATGGGACCATCATGCTGGATGGGTGGCAGATCACTGGGGGTGACTGTCGCCCACTTTCCATGCTCTTTTCAGATAGAGTCTGGTGACCAGGTGGATGGGTAATTGCTGGCTTCAAAGAGAACAGAGATATCTCTGGTGGCTTCAGGCTGACTAGAGAGGAGCTGAACGGAAATTCCACCTCGATGGCAGCTGGTGGTACACACAGTTACTCTGTGGAGGTGTTAGCAAGGTAGAGAGGGCTGCTTGGGGACTGCAATGAGACTGCTGGGCAGGGCACGTGATAGAAACCAGCTCTCCTGCAGCAGACACTTGAGTTTCAGCAAAGAGACGGCCAAATCCTCCCCTCCATGGAAGCTGAAGCCTTGCAAATCACCTTGGACATCCCACCTCCCATCCAGTACCCCTAAACCAAGGGCTGGGGTGTTGGAGCTTGGAGGAAGAGGCCCCAAGGCAACTCATTCCCACCTTCCCTAATGAGCAGATGGAACCTGGGAGGTGAACCCAGGACCATGGGATGTGGGAGGATGGGCGGGATGATGGTGTTCTGCCCCAGGCCCCGTGGGAAGCTTATGTCCATCTCTGCCCTCCCCTCGCTCTCTCCACCAGGCAGGCCACCACAATGCCCCACACCAGGCTGCTGCTCCTCCTCGCTCTCCTCTGCGCCACCGAGACCGGCCGGGCTCTGCACCTCTACAACACTGCCACCATCTTCAGCTGCCTCAACGCAGCCCTCGCCGAAGCCCGGAAGAGCCGCCCAGAGGAAAACGCCATCTTGGACAAACGCAGCTTCGAATCCCCATCACCAGAGGGGATGTTTGAGGAGGAGGCGGGGGAGGATGTGGTGGATGAAGAGATGGGGAAAAGGACGTTCCCAGGGGAAGGCCATTACAAATACGTCTCCCAGGCCCAGGTGAAGGGGAAGACATACCAAAACCGAGCCAAGAGTGACCGCCGCACCAAGGTGACCCTCTCCCTTGATGTCCCCACCAACATCATGAACATCCTCTTCAACATCGCCAAAGCCAAGAACTTGCGGGCAAAGGCCGCTGCCAACGCACACCTCATGGCCCAAATCGGGCGGAGGAAGTGATCCTCCATGGGGCGGGGGGACTCAGAGCAGGGCTGGCTGCGTGGGGCCACCACCTGCCCCATCCTGCCGGCCAGAGGGGACTGACGGCCGTGTATGATATCAGTGTTGTATATTTTTGACCCATCGAGCTACCTAACTTTCATATCTCTTCTTCCTCCTTCTCTCCCTCCTGATCTCCTCCGTCCCTCTTCCTGGACATTTCCATACGCGGGGAAGAGGCTCATGTCCACAGCAGGGCAAGAGGATGTGTCACCTCGGGAAGGTCCCTATTAAAGCTACGATCTCTTGAGTTTCCAATGCTTTGTTCTCCCATCACCTCCACTGGGTGCTCGGTTGGGTCTGTCTGGGCCCATGGCTTTTCCAAAACATTCTCCCAGCTCAGCCTCACTGCCTGGTCCCCACCATGGTCCAGACCCTACTCCCTTCCAAGACCCCATTACACAAGCTGTCCCTACACACAGTCATCACTGCATTGGGAAGGGAAAAGCAAGACTGGTCAGGGCACCTCAGCAGAGATTTTCCACTTTCTCCTCCTGGGGACTCTCTAGGTTTTAAGATTGCCTTGCAACCATCCTTTAACACACTGGCACCTTCAGCAGTCACAGTTGGGGCAACATCAACCTCCCCATGCACATGGCCCTTCACTAGTGTCCCCAGGTCACCAGCTGCCCCTGGCCAGGGCCACCCAGTCCCCTCAGGTGATTTTGGACCCTAAGACTACAGATGCCTCCCTGGCTGCTCCAGATCCACCCCGTGGGGTTTGTCCTTGTTGGCCAATCTACTCCTGCTCACTTTTCCGCCTCTCTCCCTTTCCCAGTCGACCTCTGTACGAGTCTTCCAGCTGGTACAGCTTCAGCTCCCCATACACAGAATGTCCATCCCCCTCTTCTCCACCCTCCACTGAGTCCCAGCTCACCAAGCTCCTACCTCTTCACCTTGGACTATTTACCCCTTCCTTTAAATCTCCCTTTCTCCTCACCTCCCTGCCCAGCTCCAACTTGAAATTGCATCTCTTGGCCTCCATCCCTGTGAGTAGGAGGCAAGTGAGGTGGAGAGAAATTTGGCCCTCCTTCCCCAGGAGACATTTTCCAAGAGCAGTGAAGCAGCTCCCACCAGCCCTGTCCAGGGCATGGCCATGGGGAACACTCCAGGTGGGACAGTAAGAGAGGACAGGTCTCCGGTTGAAGACGTGGCAGATGGACCCACCAGCCATCTGCAGAGATGTAGCTGGAGGCATCTCCTCTCCACACCGCTGGGCACCAGGAGAAGGCAACATAGCCAAATTCAGCCCCAGCAAGCTGATGCTTGTGTGGCCAAGGCTCCTAATTGACCCACAGTCCAGGACCCAAACTCAACTGAAGCCTGAAAAGCAAAACCAAAAGAATCCACCAGGTCCTTCAGCATCTTCCCCTCAGAGCACACACCTGCAGCAGACAGCACACCAGCATGGCCCCAGCATCTCTGTGCAATGACCTCCTCCTGCTCCAGCTCTCAGCGTGTACGGCTGAGGTCTTTCCTTGTTGCAGTCTGCTGTAGCCTTGGACTACGTGACTGTTTATGTATAACTTTCTACGTTTTTATAGCCCAACAGCCTGCACATCCATCCTCCACTGGCATATTGAGCTCTAGGTCAGCAAACATAGGCATTGTCCCCATTTTACACTCAGGGAAACTGAGGCACACGCGCACACTCTTCTCTGGTCAGGCAAAGCCCTGAGGTTGTCCAGACTCAGCCTTTCTGATGCACAGGGCTGCCTAGAAGAGCAAGGAGCAACAGAGGGATTTGCTCAGAGCCAAGGGAGAAATTATTGCTTTGAGCAGAAAGTTGAAGAGATTTTTCCCCTGTGCTGGCCAGTGAGCTCCAGTAAAGCACTGGCCCAGGCTGGCAACAGTCTTGGCCCCACCATCAGCCGCCATAGGGATCTGCATCAGCCCTGCTTGGGGCCCTTTCCCAGCACCAGGTTAGACAAGGGGAACATCTCAGACCCATGCTAAGCACACGCAAATCATAACATCATATCCCTGGGCCTCACACAGGGTCTTTCTTCTGCTCCCCCTTAATGAAGGCAATTAAAATGGAAGTGACACCACGGGAATAGATAAGCCAAGGTGTTTGCTGGCACCAGGCTGTGCTTGCACGTGCAAAGCTGAGATGGGGCCAGCAGACAGCAAGCGATGGGGAAAGCAGAGACGCCTCCCGCATGCATCTTCCCCACATCAGATCACAACAGCCTCAGCAGCTCTGATGCATTTTTGACACCGATCAGCCGATAGACCTGTTTTAGAGAAGGGACACTGAGGAACAGAGAAGTCCCGTCTCCCACCTGGGTGCCAGCAGCGAACGGGTCCCTCGCTCCTCTCCGGCAGTGGGACCCAGCTGCGTGGGGCAGGCTGGGGGGAACTCAGGGCTCTGCACTGTCCATGCCTTGGGGCCAGGGAGGGGGATGCTGCAAAATTCAGGCATGGCCAGGGTAGCCAGGTTGCCTTCAAGGAGCTGGGAGAGCCCGGATTTCTCATGGCACCAGTGCTGGAGAAGTCATCCCAGCCCCAACCCCAAGGCAGGAGCCCCATCCTGCAACTCCTGCCCATCCCCAGGGGATTCAAGTAATGTGCTGTTTGCATTGGAAAAGGGGGAAGGAAAGGAGAAAGCACATTTCCAGCTGTGCAGATTGTAAAGAAAGTCTTAATATTCAGCCTCTTTCTTTAAATTAAGAAAAAAACAAAATTAAGAAAACCCCCCAACACTCCTCCCAAAAAACCCACCTGAAGCTCTTTTCCTGATTTCACAGCAAGTGCCCTTAGACATTGTGGGGAAAGCAATGCTGGATGAGCACTGAAAAGCTGCTGCCATTGCAAAGAGACAACCCTGAAGCTCACGGGCATTCCCCACAACGCCCTGATGGAGCTGCCAGGCTGTCAGGGCAGAGGGCTGGACCGTGCTGTGGCTGCAGAGATGTGCGTGGCCCCAACAGCCAGACTTTTCCTCCACTCCCAGCACGGGTAAGAGCTGTGCAGCAGCTCACACCGTACAGCTCTGCATTCAAGAGCTATCAGGCACAGCAGAAGACTTAAAAATGAGAAGAAAAAAATTGAAAAGGTACTTTTTCAAAGCAGGATGTTGAACCTCCAAGGAGCAAACAGGGCATTCAACAGATCCATGGAGATGAAGCCCTTCCAGTGTCATAAAATGGGATGGTCTAGATGTGACCTCAGGCCACCGGACAGGGTACAGCCCCTGCAGCTATGGGTAGTGAGATGACCTGCTCTGCTAGGGAACCATGAGGAGGGCAGACCATGACCCCTAGAACAGGAGTCCTCCATCCCAGGACATCCATGCTGAGCAGAAGAAAAGCTCCCCCTAAAAAAACAAACCAAAAATTCAAGGCACCCTCATTCAGCTCCAGGCCAGGTACCCAGGAGGGGAAGGCAGGGCTGGCCTTGGACCTGTCTGAGCTGCTGTCCTTCTGTTTTGCACCCTCCTCCTCTGCTGGAGGGTGGTTTGGGCATCCCTTTGGGGTCTACCTCAGCCCTCTGCAAAGAGGCATTCCCCAGAACAGACAGCTGTGTCCAGAAGTCCTGGGAGGCTCAAAGGAGGCACAGGAGAGCACATCCCCTCTTCTGCAGCCAGCCCCTTGCCAGCCCCATCAGCCTTGCTCCCCCAGGCAGAGGGCATCTGAGCTCCCACAGAATCACAGAATGGTAGGGATTGGAAGGGACCTCTGTGGGTCATCTAGTCCAACCCCCCTGCCAAACCAGGGTCACCTACAGTAGACTGCACAAGACCGCATCCAGGCGGGTCTTGAATATCTCCAGAGAAGGAGACTCCACAACCTCCCTGGGCAGCCTGAGGAGATTGGCCCCCCCACTTCCCCCAGAAGCCCAGCTGAGCAGCAGCAAGTGGAGGCAGCTTTCCTAAGAACCAACCCCCCTCCACCCTCGCCTCAGGGTGTTTAAACTTTCCTCCAGTGCAACCCAGAGCCAACACTGTCAGCCCTTTAATCACAGCCTGACTGCGGACCCAGCTTCCCCAGCACAGCCCAGGCAGCTCCTCTTCTTGGATCCTTTCCTGGGAGGAGACTCCCCAGGGGAGAAATCACCTGCTCCAGTCCAGGAGATCTGCAGAGATCAAGCTAAGTCCCCCTTTTCCAGCTCATCTGTTGCCTGCAGGGGTTTTGCATCATGTCTGGAGAGCAGCCATCACCCAGCACCAGAGGGAAGAAGGCTAACTGGGGAGACAGCTTCTTGGCTTGGAGCTGACAGTGAGCCAGGACATGGTTTGGATGCTTTTGCAGAGGTCCAAGAGACAACCAAGATAGTTGAATTCTCACCTCCACTCCAGCCAGACTTCCAGGCAGGCCCAGCCCGGGCAGCAGGACATGGCTTGCTTTAGCAGGGCTCTGCACAGCAGCAAGGGACCAGAGCAAGCTGACCCCACTCCCTGCTACACCTGGGAGCAGAGAGCAGCACAGAAACCCCAAAGCTGGCTGCTTCAGCACATGGACAGACCATGGGCAGCCCATGTCCTGGTGGGATTGCCTCCCCAGAGTTCCCTTTGACACAGCAGTTCCACAGCCCAGGTCAGACAACTCACATCATGCTGTCACCCAGCCCAGCTCACAGGGCTCAGCCCAGCATCTACAGGCATGAGAGCCCTGAAGGTAGGGCTGAAGAGACCAATGCACCATGGGAACCACCCTGCAGCCACCACCCCCACTCCACCATCAGCCAGCTGCCAGGGTGGCACATCAAGGCAGGAGAAGATGCTTTGCTGGTCACCATTTATTCAATCAGCTTTGTGCATACACATATTGACCAAGTTGCTTTATGGCCAAGCTGCAGAGCTCCCAAGTGCCATCTCCTCAGACCCAGCCCACCAGTCCCTTCTCTGGAATAAACTGCAAGACTGGCATACAAAAATCTTCATCCACAAGCTCCCTTCCCACAGGTGACAAGATTATTCGTCATCATACTCCTCTGCATCTGCCAAGTCCCTTCCAACCTCCTCATAATCCTTCTCCAGGGCAGCCAGGTCCTCCCTGGCCTCCGAGAACTCCCCCTCCTCCATGCCCTCCCCCACGTACCAGTGCACAAAGGCTCGCTTGGCGTACATCAGGTCAAACTTGTGGTCCAGGCGGGCCCACGCCTCCGCAATGGCCGTGGTGTTGCTCAGCATGCAGACAGCCCGCTGCACCTTGGCCAGGTCTCCCCCAGGCACCACCGTGGGAGGCTGGTAGTTGATTCCTACCTTGAAGCCTGTGGGGCACCAGTCCACAAACTGGATCGACCGGCGCGTTTTAATGGCTGCAATGGCCGCGTTCACATCCTTGGGCACCACGTCACCCCGGTACAGCAGGCAGCAGGCCATGTACTTGCCCCGGCGCGGGTCACATTTCACCATCTGGTTGGAGAACTCAAAGCAAGCATTGGTGATCTCTGGCACCGACAGCTGCTCGTGGTAGGCTTTCTCTGCTGAGATGATGGGGGCATAGGTGGTCAGCGGGAAGTGTATCCGAGGGTAAGGCACCAGGTTGGTCTGAAATTCAGTCAGGTCAACATTCAAAGCACCATCAAATCTCAAAGAGGCTGTTACCGATGAGACAATCTGCCCAATCAGCCTGTTGAGGTTGGTGTAGGTGGGACGCTCGATGTCCAGGTTGCGG